GAGAACGGCTTGAAAGGTGCTTGAAAGGCAGAATTTACAGAACTTGATGTGCCCCTCCAAACCCTCCAGTGTATTTCTTTTTCATGTACAGGAGAAGTCAAAGGCAGATGGGGTCTCCTTGGTTCTGGCTCCTCCTCCCTCTGCCCACTCTGTCTCTTCTTCAACCACACTGGTGTCTGCTGTTCTGTGAACAGACCATCCAGGATGTCAGGTTTTGCATTTGATGTTCCCTCAGGGATTAGGAAAGCTGGAAAGCAGGTCTCTACAGGGATTTCTCCCTCAGGGTTTTGCTCAAATATCACCTTTTTGGCTACCCTCTCTGCATTAGTGCCCTACCCAAGCATTTCTGATTCCCATTTCTCTGCTTAATTTTCTTCACAGTACTTAATACTGTCTGATATTACACATAGACTGTGTGTGTATATATATACACATACAGTGTGTGAGTACTTATTCTGTGATGGTAAGGATTTGGTCTGTTTTGTTCACTTGAGAACAGACCTTCCAGAATAGTTCCTGGAATATATTTGTTGAATTAATGTTGAAGTAAGAATAGGAATGGCCGTGGGGTTTGGGACCTGAATGATGATGCCATTTAGTGAGAAGAGGATGGATCCCCGTGCTCCAGCCTCCTGCTGGGATCCCTGAATGGCTTCCTATATTTCAGGTTCATAGGATTCTTCACTCCATAGAAGCCTGTAACAGGTCCAGAAAATCTAGGGATCTGGACTACCCTTTGCTTTCCTAGGGGGAGAGGAGAAACTAGAGATAAACCAAACTGACTCTCAGTTCCTAAGATGGAATATAACATCAGTTTGATCTAAGCCCCATAACTGATGTTTCAGTTGTTATTGACCCCGTGTGTGGTTTTGAGCAACAAGTTGGCCAGACAATATTACAGTACTTTTTTTAATGCAAAAAGAAAGAAAAAAAAGAGCTATTAGTTTTCCTCATTCCTGCAGGTGCCCAACCAGGTTGACTTGTTGGAGTGCATTTTCTGCATTCTTAATAGATAGCTAGCAGGAAACGCCTTGCACAGCCCCAGCTAGAGGGGTAGAAAGTAGCCAAGGGAGGGTAAGGATCCTGAGCTCCTGCTTCCGGAAGCACTGAGCTGCCCTAGAATAAGCCAGACAGCCAGCTCTAGCCATCAAAGCCCACCTTTACCCAGCCACAGACTCTTGCTCTGCCTCAGGTGATGGTCCAGAATTAAGGTAAGAGAAACTGGGGACATTTTTGAGGGGGAAGAGAGATGGAAATTCAACTGGGAAGGAATTGGAGGGAATTACACATTTTGCTCAATGAAATGAAATATGGTCCCTTTGGGGTCAGTTCCAAGTGACCATTGTGAAAACCAATCTTTCTGACTTCCCACCCTGCCCCTGTTGTGCTAGGTACAGATGGTAAAAACATCCATGCGGTGTCCATGTGGTAGAATGGAAGTCAAATGGCTGGTTTCAGATTCCATGTTCAAAGACTTTTTCCCCCAAAGTTTGGGCAACATTTGTAGGTACCATTGTAGCACTTGGTGTCTTTATATTTTTTGACAGACATTCCCTTAGATGCAGCTTTGCAGAATCCCTTTCTTGTAGGTCAGACCCTCCTTTCTAATTCACACATGAATAGAGACCCCTTATAGAGTTCATTTGAGGATAAAGCTATTCAAGTTTCTCTACAGGTGCCATAAGATGCAGTTCTTCATAGATTAAATCGAATGACAATCTTCAGAATTTTCTTTCATTTTGAAAAGATTTAATTATTTTTCTGAGCCAGGATCTTGCTCTATTTCCTAGATTGGTCTCAAACTCTTGGGCACAAGTTATCCTTCTGCCTCAGCCTCCTGAGTAGCTGGGACTAAGCTGTGTGCCACCATGCCTGACTTAATTCTCAGAATTTGAATATTTCTCAGTTTCCTTCCACTGGGGGCTGAGTGCAGTCCATGGAATTGCTTGGGAACTGGATCCACAAAAGTAACCCACAGTTTTCTTCTGAGTGACCACTGTGTTTGAAGAGGAACAGAGAGGCAGAGGTAGACCTTGTGGTTTATTCAGGATCCAGTGTGATGATGCTGAAACATCACCTTCAAGTTTATCTCTAACTTTTCTTGGTTGTGCCCAGGTGGCCTGTGGTCTCTGTGGACTTTATCCTAGGATATTTGGAACATGATTTTGGCCATGATGTCCCAAGAGTCCAGCCAGCTCCTTACATGTGGCTTTCAGAGGCAGTCAGCAAAGACAGGCTGTGAACTGGGTCTAGCCTGAGCCTAGAGCAGTGAATGCTGATAGCTCTGAGAGTAAGAGGGTGAGTCCTCCAGAGGTCCTAGCTGGTCTTTAGTGGCTGGAGGCAGAGGCTTCAAGGAAAGCCATGAGGGAGTGCACAAAGTTTATTCCTACTTTCTCTGAAGGAAACCATGTGGCCGGATTAGTGTCCTGGCTCATGCTCCCCTACAGATTAGAAGCCAACCCTGTCCCCACATTTGATAGATATGGAAAATGAGGCCCACGGAAGGGGAGACACTATCACAATCATTGGGTTAACAGTAAAGGGTACTAAAAATCAGACAGACATTGGTGCCAGAGAACCCTTGGTTCAAATCCAGGTTTTACCACTACCTAGCTGTGTGGCCTGGGTAGTTTATTTCACCTTCTCTAAGCTCTACCTTCCTTATCCATAAAATGGGAATAATAATACCTACTTTGAGGATTATAAAGATTGGAGAAGATATGTGTATAGCTTTTGGAACAGAATAGGAATTGTATAAACTGTATCTTTAAATGCCTCTGTCTCTACATTTATCATTACTTTATACTTTATTACTTTATTCACAACACCTTTGCTGTATTTCTTTTACCCTAGTATCTGAGTATACTTGTGCTATTTATTCAGGAATAATTTACCTACAGTGAAGTACATCTATCGCAAGTGTACATTTTGATAAATTTGGGCAAATGTATATATCCACATAGTAACCATCAACCTCGTGCCCCTTCCTAGTCAATCTCCATTCTACAGACAACCACTGTTCTGACTTCTATCACTATAGATTATTTATGCTTCTTCCATGTAAATGTATGTTCCATACAGTATGTGGCCTTTCATGACTGGCTTCTTTCATTCAATGTGCTTTGAGATTCTTCCATGCTGTTGTGGGGAGTGGTAGTTAGTTTCTTTGTATTGCTGGCTTTCATTCCACTGTATGAACATATTATAGCTAGTTTATTTATTCTCCTGGTAGTAAACATTTGGGTAATTTCCTTTATTTGGCTATTAGAAATAAAGCTGCTATGAAAACTCATGTACAAGTTTTTATGGGGACATAGCTTTTGTTTATCTTGACCCTGTATACTTAAAAGTAAGAATGCTGGGTCATATAGTAAGAAAAGTATAATTTATAAGAAACTATGCTTTTTCAAAGTGGTCGTTCACATGGATTTTGAAGTAAAGATACAATTTAATTTTTTTTAAGTCATGCCTGGCTATGCTTAGCATGACTACCAACCAGGAGAAACAAAACAATAATGTTTAATTAAATGCTTCTCTAGACAACATAATCCAATTATGACTGGGGCTAGAATGACTCTGAAAGATCTTTTTGGAAAATCTGCTCACTGCCAGATTCCTTCCTAATGTTCCCATTGTGACCTATTGACATTTCTTAGGCTGCAGAATTCACACTCTTCCAAACCCTTTATTTATTCTCCAAACCCAAGAGTAATATGAAGCACAGAAAGGCTATGCAGTTACCCCAAAATTACATAGCCAAGGAAAACCACAGGTCTTCTGACTCCTAATCTGCTATAATTTCCTTGAGTTGTGCTTTCTCTGCATGAAATGACATTCAGTCATTCAGCCATTGTTTACTGATCATCCACTTTGTGCTAGGTACTAGGGATAAAGAAATGAATAAGAAATAGTTCCCAATCTCAAAGATCTCATAAACTAGAGATGGAGACAATTTATTCAACCCCAATTATTGAGTTAATGAATAGACTAAACACATCTTTGGTCAGAGCACAGGGCAAATCAGGTTGGGTGGCTCCAGGTAAGAGGCATTCAGACAGGCTACTTCCCTAGTTAAAGAAGGTCACAGCATGTCTTGAGTGCTCACCATGTTCTGGGTCCTGGTTTGGGTGCAGATGGACAGCCTCTGGCCTCAAGGAACTCATAAGGTGGGATCAGCTGATGCCACCAAGGGGTTCCAATTTGAAATCTATTCAGCAAACAGCTATTGAGCATTCACTCTATTCCAGGCATGGTTCCAGATACAGAGGATATGATAGTGAACAGAATTGACAAGGTTATTGTCTTTCAGGAGCTTTCCAGTAATGTTACTACAACTTATTCCCACATTTTTTGAGATCTGTATGTGGCTCAGAATATATCCATCTGAAAGCCTTAGAGCTCATATTGTTTATGATTGTTAAGTTTCTAAGTCAGAGTCTGGGTGGAAGTAAGACACTATCTTACATAGATTAGGACAGAATTTCATGGGTTTTATCCTCTTGCATTAAAATAGTCATGCTGCAAAGTAGTGTTTGCCATGCTAGCTGAAATTGTCCAGTACCCATTGCTTAGTCCTTTCTTGGGGAGCCTGTGTCTCTAAGTAGTTATGGGCTGACCCTGGCTCATTCATTTGGGAAGAATAAACTTCACCAGAAGGCAAATTACATTGCTATTTGGACTTAGTGTCCTCCAGACACATCTCCTGTTGCTTTTCTAGTCCTGTTGTTTCACAATTCTCATTTGTAAGAGAAGGCCACCTCCAGCTGTTGGTACAGCTTTAGGTTGTTTCCTGAACGCTGATCAGATTGAGCTCCTCAGCTGCTCACAGTCCAACACAGCATTGTTGTTGACCTTCAGGAACTCAGTGACTCCCCAGGGCTCTAGTGAGAGCCTGTACTTGGTAGGAAGAAATTGCTTGCCCTTAGGGATGGTGCTCAACTAAACAACAGCCAAACCCCTTGATGAAATAGTACCAGTGACTTTTTGTATTTGGTTTGCAGCCATCACCTGTGTTATTGACAATGGCAGAAATGAACAAGACTGACATCCAGCAGCCCAAAGATCGTCAGAAGCCCATAAAGACGGAATGGAATTCCCAGTGTGTCATTTTCACTTATTTCCAAGGAGACATCAACAGTGTCGTGGATGAGCACTTCTCAAGAGCTCTGAGCAATATCAAGAGGCCCCAAGGATTGAACTCCTCAAGCCAGAGTGAAGATGTGATCCTGAGGAATGGTGAGCATCTCAGGAGGGAGGAGGCAGCAATTTCCTGTCCAAGCTTTCACTGTAAGACCCAGTTTTTTTGTTTTGTTTTGTTTTGTTTTAAAGAGAGAGTGAGAGAGAGAGGGGGACAGAGAGAGAGAGAGAGAGAATTTTAATATTTATTTATTTTTTCTTAGTTTTCGGCGGACACAACATCTTCGTTTGTATGTGGTGCTGCTGAGGATCAAACCCGGGCCGCACGCATGCTAGGCAAGGGCGCTACCGCTTGAGCCACATCCCCAGCCCATAAGCCCCAGTTTTTAATGCATTCTGCATGTGTATGTTTGCTAAAAGCAAGTCACACTGCCTAGTGAGAAGTCATACCTTTTCTTAGAAGTTTAATGCAAAAATGGACATTGTCTAATCAAATTAGTTCACTTATTTCATTATTTCTTCAACTGCATTCAGTGCTAGGTTCCCTGCTCAGCATACAATAAGAGCTTCCTGACTACTCACTGTTACCATCAATCAGTAATATTATTCTTGCTGTTGGCCAGAGGGCAAGAACACCAAAGCATCCATGATAAGATAAACATGTCCTGGGTTGATGCTCTCAGCCTCCTTTCAACCAATAGTGGATAATCTGGTGAGCAAGGATAGGGGCCAGAGGGAGACTAATGAAGGGTCTTGCCACATCCTTCTCCCACCCTTCTCCGGGTCAGGGATGCATATTGCTCAACAGAGCTATGTCACAATGTGCATATCAAAGCATGCAGATTTGGGGGAAAGTATGATTTTAAGCTGGCAGGGGCCACAATATGTCTCTCATGGACCCCAGATACTTTTGCCTTCATGGAGCCCTTGATCCATAAAAGTATTAAAAGTTACATTTTATAACTGTGCTGTTTGTTATGAGATGAGGATAAACCAAGCTGAATTCCTTTTTAATCGGTATCATTATCACATTCATCTTTTTCTTCTGATTTTGAAATAAGTTACATCACTTCTGTGGACCGCTACAAGTATTCACAGGCCCTAGTTACTGTGCCTCTTATGCTTAATAGAGGCACCCCTGCCTGCCAGATGAGAATCAATATGGCTCCCATTTACTTTTTTTGAAAGGTGCAAATGGACCTAAGTCTGGTTGATTTTAAGAGCTTTTTATTTCGGTTACCTAGCCCACAAGTTAAATGTTTTGCTTCCATTGGAGGACCTGTGGGTCTCCAAGTGGGACACTTTGTACAAAGTGGACACATGGGGCCTCTGCCTGTGGGCAAAGAGCTCACCTGTTTCCAGATACTATCACTCTGGTTCTGCTGTTTGGTCTGGACAGAGCACTGGTGTGTATCTGATGTACTCTCCATAGCAGAATTTACTTCTTTCCTAGGAATGATTTTTCCAGTCAAATGAATTGACTTTCTCAGAGAATCTTGTGGGTTAAGTACACATGTGGAAAGGCATGAATTGTTTGAGTGATGTGGTAAAAATGAGAAACCCCTACTCTGTCATTTTACCCTGTTTTGTTTTTCTTCTCAGCATTTGTCACCACCAAGCACATTATATATATTCTTCTGGACTCCTTTGCACACCCTTTAGTCTGAATTCTATGGCAGCAGGATTTAGTCTGTTAAAATTACTGCTTTTTAAGTACATAGCTCAATGCTTGACTTATGGGAGGCACTTAATAAATATTTCTGGAATGAATTAAATTATGATTTGAATCATAGGGTATTGATCCTAAAGATGGGGTATGTCGTCCATTTTCTGTTGCTAGTAACACAATGCCACAGACTGGGTAAATTATGAAGGAAGGAGATTGTTGTGGTCAAAGTTTGAGGGCTCACATCTGGTGATGACTGTCTTGCTGCCAGAATCCCAAGACAGTGCAGATATCACATGACAAGAGACTAAGAGAGCATATGTGTGTTCTCTGGTCTCTCTCCCTCTTCTCATAAAGCCACCAATAATTTAATCATGGGCCCCAACCCTGATAAATTTATCTAGTCCCCAATAATCTCCCAAAGGTTTCACCTCTAAGCATGATAGTTAGATTAAGTGCCCACCCTCAAAATATGTCACAGAGGACATTAAATCCTAAAATGAATTTCTGAGGGGACAAGTCATATTCAAACCATAGGGATCACCATAGAGAGGAGATATGGTGTAGTACACAGCTTTAGAACTATGTAGTATGATGTCAACACAGTTCCACTACTTCTTAACAGTATGATTTCTGGGCATCTTTATCTGCTTATGCCTCAGTTTCCTTACTGCTAAAATCAAATATTTAACTATAGGAGAGTGCTTTGAGGGAGTCAATGAGATAAAGCATGTCAGGTAGCAAGTAGTGAATGCTATGTAGGTACTAATTACTTTTGTGTGGATAATGCCAAAGGCTGACATGTTTTTTGAATGCAGGCCTCTCCTATAGCCTCCAAGATTTTTGGAATCCTGCTGTGTGGCTGCTTTCATGTTTTCTATGCCTTCTGACTTTACTTTGATTGAATTCTGTGAAGCTTCTGCCTGGGAGCTTGGGCTTGGCCCTGTTTCTAGGCCAAGCCAGCCTTCACAAGCCAAACAGATAGGTGGTTTTCTTCCTTTATCTTCTTGTTGCATTTTCCCTGTGAGAATCTCACAAATCCCCTGACTCTGAAGATGTTGCCTCCCTCATGGAGGGTGGTGTGGGCTAGGCAAATATTTTTCTGGTGATTGAGCAACTGAAGGAAAGACTGTCTCCCTCAAGGCCCCTCTTATCATAGCTAAGAGTCAAGTTTCTCACGAACTCTGCTGCCTCAGGGGAGGGCTCCGTGAAAGAAGTCCAGTCCTGCTGAGGTTCTTATTGGACGTGTTAAATGACACACATACAGCTTTGAAAATGGTGGGAAACCTATAAAGTGGGCCTTTCATTACTGACTGCTAGTTAGCATCCTCTTAACCCCTAGCAGGTCAGCCCCAGCTAAACCAGATTGAGGAGAACAGACCCCCATTCATGGGCTCCCGTCGAAGACTTGCCCACATTCTAAGGGCATTCTGTCAAGTCAAATATGCAAAGCCCAAACACAAGAGACCTGTGTGGCTAGGAAAAGCCATTGAATTTCCTGGCTTCCCTTCCAAAATCAAAGTTATTTTAAAATTTACTTATGTATAATTTATATGGACTGCACTTCAGAAAAGAAAATATAAGTTGAAGGTATCTTTGGATTGTCTTCCATTTTGATGAACACTGGGGATTTTCAGTCAGTAATTGGGGAAGCTTCAATAACTGCAAGTTCTTGGGGGACACAGTCTTGGTGCACTTCTCAACCCATATTCCTCCTGAACCACCCCCAGCCCCAGTCTTGAGCAGGCCTGGAACATGCTCAAGAACTGTTGAGAGAAGAGAAGCTATATACCTGACCACCTAGCAATCTTCTTTAACCAGTCTCAAAGGGTCCCAGTGGATCTTCCCTGCCTTCCATCTGCCATGATTAGCAGGGTAGGAAGAAACACTACATTTCTCTTTTAGTGTGAATATCTAGATGAGCTATAGTCATGCTGGCTGTTTATGGTGCCTGTGAATATTGACAACTTCGTGCCTCCACTAGGTGCCAGACACCACATTAAAATTATTACACTTAATTCAGTCCTTAAAACCCACTATGATTTATAAAGTTCAAAGATAAGCAAACCAAATCCATGATCTTAGAAGACAGGATTTGGTCTTGTTAGAAGATGTTTGTCAGGGTTAGCGATGGAGAGAGTGCCTGAGGGGGCCTTCTGAAGTGTTAATCACATTCTGTTCTTCTGTCTGGGTACTTATTATCCAGTTTGTGAAAGTTCCTCCAGCTGAAAACTTGTATTTGTGAATTTTCCTGCACATTGCTTGTATTTCACAAAACCACTTTGTCCTCATTTTACAGAGGAGTAAACTGTAACCCAGCAATGGTGAGTACTCAGAGATGGGTCACCTTGCCAGTGAATGATAGAGATTGAAAGCCAGGTCTGTTTGACTCCAGAACCAGTCTCTTGACTTTACTCTCCTGCTTTTGTAGACCCTAACGACACCACAGGGAGAGGGTTAATACCCATGAAGATGTTTGCAACAATTAACACTTAGTGTGTACTTCCTGTGTGCCTGGCCCTTTGCTAGGGGCTGTGACATAGGTTATCTCATTGAATTTTCACACCAACCCTATTGGTTACTCCTTCTATGCTTATATTTCTGGTGAGATAACTGAAGCTCAGAGTCAAGTGACTTGTCCAAGATACCACAGCTAGTAAGGGGTGACTATAGTATTTGTCATCAGATGGTCTTGATTCCATATTCTGAGCTCTTAGCCACTCAACTTTCAAGATACAGGCACATGTTTTGTATTTGACCTCTGCCTTCAAGGAATCTGCACTAGCTACCCCAGGGAGGTGACTAGGAAGGAGGGATTGGGACTGAGCAGGGTTTTCTGTTATCCCAAAGCAGGACTTTCTTCTCTAAGCTGTCCCTCTGCTTGTGGTGTTATTTTAACTTCAGGTAATTCAAGGACTACCTGCTTTGATCCTGGGGTGAATGAATGAGGGATTATTGCTACCAGCTATGCTGGTAGAGAGGGGAGCGCCAATGTGTACCGACTGGACAAGCCAAAGTTTGGATATTTGTGGGACAAAATGTGTGTGTGTGTGTGTGTGTGTGTGTGTGTGTGTGCGCGCGCGTGCACATGTGTGTCTAGTTTAACCTTCATCATAAATCAGGACTGGTCTTACACACACACACACACACACACACACACAGCACAAGGAGAAGTGGGAAAGAAGAAAGGATGAATGGAAGGGAAATCAGGCAATTATGGATTGGTCTTTGCAACTGTCAACTCACTTTTAGGAGATTCACTGATCAAGTGGTCTCTTAAATTTTTGCTTAAAAAATAGCTTAGCTGTGTGCAGTGGTATGTACCTCTAGTCCCAACTACTTGAGAGGCTGAGACAGGATTATCACTTAAGACCAGGAGTTCAAGGGCAGCCTGGGCAACAGAGCAAACTGACATAATCTACCTTAATCCTTTTCAGGGCATTGCTCTCAATGACTTCTCACTAGTGTCTACCTCTTTAAAGAT